CTCCATTACTCTCGGAGATAACACCACTCATTTTGTAAATCCTTATAGTTACAGCCCTGTTAGATTAAAGGTGGATTTATTTGCATTAAAAAGTTTACGGCTTTTTTATTTATTTTTCCTTTTCTTGTTCTTTGCCAAAAAGACATTGGTGGCAATTTCGTGTGTCCCAACATTTTGTGTTCATGCGAAGGCATTTTGAGGAACGACACATCTCTGAGTGGAAACGTGGTTCTATGCTTCAGTAAATTAGCGAATGTGACAACTCTATCGGCTGTGCGAATACGGTGGAAGCAGCAAACGGGATCGGGATAATTGTTGCCGGCCAACAGGACGACGTCTGGGTTCCATGTGGTCAAGTTCGTCACTTTCCATGCATCGTTGTAGATCCTGACGTTGCCACTAAAATTTTTTATTACGCTTTGGACGCCACGTATGATGAACATTTTTCTCCTAATCTAATAAGCGCGGAGATGTGGTATATGGTAATTAAGTTTTGTTTTATGATTTTATTTTGTGTGATTTTGTTAAGTAATCCAACGGTGAGGCTGGGGCGCGCAACAATCCTCGTAGGGAAGCTCTATATCAACTAAGATAGCGTTTTTCTCATTTAGAGGTCCTAATTCTGCCTCTCCCGCAGTTCTCAAGGTACCTCATTTTTCATCCATATCATTCATTTATTGCAATACTATGTTGATTCCTAAATTTTATAAACAATTTCAATTATACTCTCTTTAATTTTCCTTTTTCTTTTTATTTCAATAAGTTCCACCATGATAGTTAAATGTTGAATAGTAAATTGATTTTGAGATGGGTGTTGGTGAGCAGCCAGACATAGCAGCGCCAGGGTCTAACATTCTAGCTGCCATTTCACCGCGCAACCGCGCTATAGCGACAAAGGGTTCGCGTTCGATTTAGGAACTTCCATGGCTGCACCTCATATTTCCGGCATCGTGGCTCTCCTTAAATCCATGCATCCCACTTGGTCACCCGCCGCCATTAAATCGGCCCTCATCACCACTGGTAATATCCATTCCAATTTCTTGGTAATAATAATAAAATGAAAGAACTTTAGAAACCGTTAGAATTGCCACCCTTTTCTAAACTGCAGCACAAGAAAAAGACCCCTTGGGGGCGCCCATTTTGGCTGAGGGCTCTCCTCCCAAGTTGCCCGATCCATTTAACTACGGCGGCGAATTGGTGAACCCTAATGCCGTCGCAGACCCAGGCCTCATCTATGATCTAGCCATTGCAGACTGCGTTAAGTACTACCTGTGCGGCATGGGGTATAAGACCTCACATATTTCCCAGCTAATGAAGCAGAAAATAGGGTGCCCGTTACAAAGGCCATCGGTATCAGATTTGAATTTACCGACCATTACAGTACCAGCTCTCAGAAACTCCACCACCGTGACTCGTACGGTGACGAATGTGGGAAAGTCGAGCTCGATGTACAGGGCAGTGATTCGAGCCCCACCCGGCACGAGGGTGAGCGTGGAGCCCCGAGTGTTGGTGTTCAACTCCAGAGTGAAGAAGATTTCATTTAAGGTTACCATTTCCGCTGTGCTCCATATGAATTATGGGTACTCTTTTGGAAACTTAATTGGGAGCGATGGAGTGCATCCTGTCAAAACTCCCCTATCTTCAAATTGATCTCCTTTGATCTTGTGATCTTGTGTTGTTTGTTTATCTGCATCTTTATGATTTGAGTGGAGAAAATAAATAAATAATCTGTATTGTCGTATCTTTTACTTTTGGCTTCACCTAAAATATTCTTATTTCAATTCAGATAATTATCCATCTATAAACCATATATCATTCTATTTCTTAAATAGGAATTTATTTGAATTCCAACATTTTTTTTTAACAACAGAACAGGGGACAAGAGCCCTACCTCTTCCAAGGATTATGGGATTTCTTGACACAATCATTCTATAGGAAAATTAAAGCTCTAACCATTTCTCCTTCTATACACAATATAGGAGAAAAAGAGGAAAATGTAGAAACGACGACGTAAACAATTTTATACTGGTTCACTCAACAATAACAACGTTCAGTGCGGATTCCACTATATATGAGATTGGTACAAGCACTCAAATACCTCCTCCAATATTCACCCACCGGGTCCTAACAAAAGCCCTCTAACTTCTAAGTATTCTAACAACACTATACTTATATGTATAGGAATGAAAAACTTACAAGAATTAAGATCTAATTACCCCAAATATTTCAATCTTCATCGGCCCAACTCTCCAATATTCTGAGTCGCTGCCTCAAAACTGCCACAGAAAATTGATATATTCAGCTCAAGAACCCTAAAATGCGAAAAAAACTGCATTTATATATATAACATCGCTACAGCGTCATGACACTACGGATGGAATACGTCCGCACTCCCCATCGCGACAATGTCGCAGTACTGCCTCCTCAGCTCCATTGCCTGCAGCTACGCTTTGACTGTTTTTCACCCTACATCGTATCAAATCGATCTTGACTTGTTCGGACGTCAATTTTAAAATAGAATTTATTATTATTAAATATTATAAAAATAAAATTTAATAATATTTTATATTAAATAATGATGTTTCTAATAACAAAAGCATTTTAGTTGATTATTTATTAATATTAAATAAATTGTTATAATAATAAATATTTTAGTCGATTATTTATTAATATTAAATAAATTGTTATAATAAGAAATATTTACTATCAAATAAAATTAATTATTATTGTAATTAAAAAACATATTAGCACAACATTCTATTTGTTATTAGCTAGAAATAAGAAAAGAATATACTAGTAATGTTATATATCTGATTTTGATTCCAATTCTAGAAGTTTTAGTAAGGAGTTGATCTGATTTCGATTTCAACAAATTTCTGGTAAACAACATCAAAGGAATAAGATTCTTATTCCGATTGATTTTCATTCTAATTTATGTTCATTTCGATTCCTAGCAAGAAAACATAGTCTCATAGCATTGCATCATAGTGGGAAAGAAATTGGGCGTTGAAAAGAATCCAACTATTCATAAACTTCATTATCGGTAAGGTGTAAATTGTAATAAAACTGTAAGAAATTATGATAACCAAAAAATTGTAAATTCACTGGTATAATTGCAATAATTAGGCTCCATTCGAAAGAAGAGAATGCAATAATTAGATATATGAGATGAAAGGTTGTGACAATTAATTCAATGTCTAGTGGGTGTCGTTGTATCACTATCAAACATGACAACAAACCTTTATACTTTATTCTAACTTTTTTTTTTTTCTTAAAAAATTTCTTCTTTTCTTTTTTCTGCTTTTTTTTTTTTGGCTCGAGTCCAACAAAATAATCATCAATGGCTTGAATCAAAATAAACAACATAAACGCCACTTTATATTTTGGTGCAAATTAAAATTACTATTCATTTGAATAGTCTAGTTTTTATATAATGAGTTGATTTTAAATTTCATTTCAATTTGAATTTAAAGGGGTAATTAATAATAATTTCATCCAGCTCCATTTTTAAAGAAACAAAAATCTAAACTTTCACCCTAATTAAAACTTAAAAAGCTTCAAATGGAGCTCTGGTGCAAGCAACAAGGTGTATATGAGACGAACGAAGCTAGGGGTTCGAAATTCCCCTCGAAACAGATTCCCTAGAAGTGGCAAAGTTGCTGAAGGAAGAAGATGATGATATTACCAAAATTGTTTGTATCGTGGACGAAATTAGAGCTCTTGTGGTTCAGAAATCGGTGTTCTACATACGTTTCATCGGGCGAGAGATAAAAATTTTGGTCGTTTCAGGCAGATGGGGAACATATCGTGTGGAGTTTGGGTTTTGCTAAAATCCCTTCGTGTATTAGCACATTTTTTAGATATCAGTCCATTTTTTTCAATATATTTTATTCTAAAAAAAACAATAATAATAAAAAATAAAAAGATTAATTGATATTTTTGCCTTAAACTTCTATATTTCATTAAACTGAACGAATGATATACACTTTTTACTTTTTCTTACATTTACTTCTCTAATTTCAATGAAAAGCAATGAAAAAAATTCTCTAATAATTCACTAATTTCAACAAGAATTAAGCATTAACAAATTAGTATATTGTCAAAGCGATCATAGCTCAGCGGGAATTGACATATATCTCCAATCATGAGGTTGAAAGTTCGATCCCTCAGTACCCCACATGTTGTACTAAAAAGAACAAATTAGAAAATTAAAGTCAAGGCAAACCAATACATAAAAGATCAACATTTTCAACCAAATCAAGTTTAATATTACTTTCTCAAGGTCTCGTTAATTTCATATTATCATGCCTTTATATTGTAATACACTAAACACACCAAAATACTTTCTTTTTTTTTAACAATTATCCAAACAAAATCTAATAAAAAGTAAAAGTTATCCTACTCATCCAACTTAAAGTGTAAAATTGAAAATTTATAGTAATAATGGACTCAAATTAGCATAGAATAAGATAAAAATAGGAGATTTCTCCATATGATTCCCTCCGGAGATATTTCGACTCTTTCCATCTATAAGAACATATCAGGCTATCTATCAATCGATTTGAAAATAATATGTTCATTTCTGCCATAATAATATGCAGGCGAAGCGAACAAATTTTATTTTGGAAAAGCCAAATAGAAAGATTCGATTCTAACTTCGTAGAGTTGGTGCTGTTGTTGACTGTGCGTAGGGTCGTCACCCACTCCGGGCGCTTAGGGACTTTTGTATTTGGAACAGATGACAATATTTTGTAGATGCCTCCAATCAAGCTTTTGTTGCGACATGCTATGTTTTCTCCCCTATTGCTAGTAGGTTGCTGGGTCGCACACTAAGCACACATGTTTTGGCTTAATTTAATGGCTACTTGTAAACCTTTAACATAGTTCAATTGATTAAAATAAATATTTCAGAGATCGTGAACTTCAATTCTAACCCTACCTATTGTACTAAAAAAAATAAATGGCTACTTAAAAGTTAAATCTTTCCCACATGTTTTTTCCCCCTTATCATCTAATTTATTCCCTGGAATACGAAGTTAGATCATCTTGTGACAACAAAGTACAATAAATTCTAATGTGATCTCTACTCCTACTAGATTGGATATATATTACCCTTTATTCCATACACTATGAAGAAACGAAAACAAATTTAGCCCAAAAACCCTTGAGTCTCACAAAAGGGAAGCACAAACCACAAAACCCATTTGTGAAGCAATTCTCTAGTCTCTTTTTTGCAGTTACTGAAGGCACAATAAATCCATATATTCGCATTGAAGGCAGCCCTTTATTCCCCTCCCACCCTTTTTATACCCCAATTCTTCCATCTCCTCTCATTCTCAACTCATTACCAAAATTAATTGGCCTTCCCATTTCAGCTTATTTTACAGTCCAAATGGCCCACTCCTCCGCCAACGACGGCGAGAAGCACAGGGAATTCGACCGTGACGTTAGAGAAATGGTCTCCTCCCTCACGACTCGCCTAGGTTTGATTCGGAAAGGAGGTAAAAATGCAGCATCGTTGATACTTCGATTTTGCTGATTGTGGCTACTGGCCCCAGGTTGAGTTTAATTTGATTGATAGCAGATCTTGAAGGGACATGTTAAGGATCACACATTGAAAACATATGACTGATATGACCTCTGTTTAGATACTATATTAAATCAATATTACGCTTTTGGGTTATGGTAAATTTAATTTTTTATAGATACCATAAAGTGATACGAATTGAATCTCATAAGTTAAGTAGTATTCACAAATCATGACTATGTGTTTATAAAAATTTGAGGAGTAATAAATAATCTATTTGGATGGCTCTTATTAATTGCTTCAATTATTTTGACGCTCGGTAGCATCAGGAGGCGGTTCAGGCCACCACCATGAAGTGGTGGATGATCAAGGCTCAAGCGTCATCACACTGGCCGGAACCAACACCGGCGCCACCATGCGCGCGGAGTTGAACGGCAAGACGACCAAGCTGGAGGGGGCGGCGGGGGACGAGAACGAGGCCCTCACCTCCTACATCAACAGCAACTTTCAGGCCATAAACAACTCCATCATGTTCGGCGGCAGCTACTCCGGCAACGACCCGGGGGTTCACATGGACATCTCTGATCTCCATGAAGAAGGCCATAAGGGCGACAAAGGTGGGGCTAAGGCCAAGAAGGTGGCCAAGGAGAATGCTGATCAGCCCGGCGGCTCCTGGTTTTCAAAGGAATAATTTTTTGGCGTTGCATGCCAAGTCTTTTATCCAGTTGAATATCATATTATATACATATATATATATTTACTAAAGAAGAGATTTCCATTGTGAGTTTTTCAATTCTCAAAGCTTAATAAAACGGAGTTGAATTCCTTCTCTCATGTTTATATTCTATACAAAAGTTGAAAAAGTTTGAAGGTAGAAAAAATCTATGGTATATAAATAAAAAATAATACTTGATGGTTAAATTTATAAGTAAGAGAGATAAATGTATAAAAAATATATTTTTCTATTTCTTAAAATATTAAAAAACTGTCCAATTTTTATGGGTGGTGAACAAAAAATAGACATTTTTGGCAAGCATAACTATTGTTTACATAAACAAGACTACATCTCAATTTGCATAAGAACTTCTAAGATAGTTAAGTCACGCGAGGCTCAATAGTCTTTTGTTTAGGATACGACCATCAAACAATATCATTGACTATTTAGTTATTTAGTTTGGAATGTATGTCATACCATTATTGAAATATACATTATTGGCAGAAGATTGTGTGTGTATATTGTGTAAGGCTCTAATACAGATGAAAGGGACTTTGAATTTGAATTCTTACTGACAAGGGACTTTGAACAAGATGCACCCCATCACTCCAAATTATGCTTCCAAAAGAAAATCCATAGTCCATCTCAAGAAGGCTCCAAATGGTAACCTTGAACGACAACTTCCTGACCGTAGCGTTGAAGGCCAAAACAGGAGGCTCCACTTCTACCCTCGTTCCAATTGGAGGGTCGATCACAACTCTATAAACGGATGTCAAGTTTCCAACATTAGTGACAGTTCTTGTAACAGTGTTCCAGTTACTTAGCGCTGGAACTGTAATGGAGGGTAAGTTTAAATCCAATATAGAAATTTGGTCTTGTGTTGGGCACTCTGTTTTGTCCTGTGTTAGAACAGAGATGGCTGAGTTGTTGTAACCCATTGAGCAGAAGTAGGAGATGTAATCGGCTGTGGCCATATCGTATATCAGTCCTGGGTTTGCAGCTGCGTTTGGGTTTACTATTCCTCCTCCGTAGTCGAACGGATCCCCACGCTTCCAAGGAGATCCCTCGGTGAGAATCGGGACGCCAGACGAAGAGTGGGTGTTCCATGCTGCAGTGAGTGAGTGACATGTTTAAGTGATCAAGTGATATCACTGAATCAAAACAAAGAAGGCAAACACTTAACAGCAGCAGGGTTATAGCCTTATAGGATACCAGTTGTGACGATGGCTGATTTAATGGCAGCAGGGGACCAAGTGGGATGAAGTGATTTGAGAAGAGCCACAATGGCTGAGACATGAGGCGTTGCTATGGAAGTTCCAGTTTGTATGGTGAAACCTCTATCATTTGTTGGGTCGAGTGGAGAAGTGGCTGCTAATATTGCCACTCCAGGTGCGGCTACATCCGGCTGTTCAATAAACCACAGTCAGTTAATAATCATTGGGTTAATAGAGCCAAAACAGGAGAAAGAAAACAGCCAGGCCAAGAGAGTCGAAGTCGCAGTGCCTAGGCACTACATCAAGATGCCTAGGCGCCATCCTCAGCGTCATGGTGCAATGAACCCAAGAGAAGAGATGCAGCAAGCGAGCTACCGAGAAGGCAGCAGCTAGGCGATGTCCTGCAGTGCCACGACACTACTGACTCTGTTTCTGCCTAGAATTTCGTTTTTCGAGTCCTTTTTCGTTTAGGCTTTATATTAGGTGTAGAAGTCCCTATAACTAGGTGTTTTGAGCATTGTATTCGTTGGTATAGAATTTACTTGAGTGGTCATGAACAGTGTTTGAAAAAGAGTTTTAGTGGGTTTAGCGAGGATGTCTTCAATTGTGTAATTTTAGATAGTCATTATTATGATACTAACAATTTACGGTAGATCTATTGTATTTATTTTCCATTAAAAAAATAATAATAATCCTAGAATCATCCCACTGTTGAGAGTAAGTTACCTTGAGAATGGCTGGTGCAACAGAGTTGGGACCTCTGGATGAGAAATATGCAATGTGTGCGGAAATGGGGTTGCCCGTGATGGTTCTCGAACGGCCCAATCTCACCAAAGGAGAACTACACGGTTCAAAAAACTCTCATTGCCAGGTACAAGATAAGATAGCAAGGCAAATTTGCGTTCTGGCTCTTACCTGGTGGCTCGGATGTAATAGAAAATCTTGGACCCAATCTCCAAATCGACTAGAAAACAGGGGAAATCGTCGGCACATGCGAACCAGATATCATCAGGATGCCTCGCCACGATCAGCCCCACGCCGTTTCCTGCTTTCACTGCCTCCGCCGCTCTCGATATCGCTATTGGATTCATCGCCACCGCTCTGCTGAAGCAGAGCACCACTTTTCCAGCCATCCATTTGCTGCCATTCACTAATGGCACCAATTCGCAGAGGCTGCAACGTTGGGTCATTCACAAATTCAGTCATTTTTCTATACTTATGAAAATGAAGTCATTAATTTAACTAACCCTGCAACTTCTTGCCGCAACCCCGATCCTGGGTATACCAAGCCACTGTATCCAATCTCCTCCCCGGAGAACAGAGTCTGCCCCTGCAACAAGTAAGGCCATATTAATCCTGAATTCACTTCATAAATTTGATCAAACTTATAAATTCATCAAAATTTTCAACCTACGAGAAAAGTGTTGTTATTTCCCAGAACAATGGTTGCCAGAAAAGTTCTGTCCATGGAGCTGGCTGCAACATTCAAGATCCATGGCGAAGTGTTCAGCACCGTCTCCGAAGATGGCCCGTCATTTCCGGCGGAACAGACCACCGGAATGTTCCTCGATATGGCATGAAAGGACCCAATTGCGACCACGTTCTCTTCATCCACTTCCGGAAACAGAGGAACGCTTTTCCCCAGCGACAGAGACAGAACGTCCACTCTGTCCTGAACGGCGTCGTCCAGCGCCTTCAGGACGTCCGCCGCCGCGCACTGGCCGCCGCCGCTGGGCAGACTCCAACAGGCTTTGTACATGGCCAACCGCGCCCGCGGTGCGCCGCCCCTCAGAGTCCCGCCGGCCAGGCCTCTGTAGCTAACGTTGCTCACGAAAGAGCCGGCGGCGGTGCTCGCCGTCTGAGTTCCGTGTCCGTTTGAATCTCTTGGGGAAATAAATTCTGTGGCTGAGGATCTGTTGAATTCGCCGAATTCTGCTTTGAACCCATCCACGTACCAACGGGCTCCTATGATTTTTCTATTGCAGTTTCTTGAGGCATTGAATTTCTCTCCAGATTTACAGGTGCCTCTCCACCGCCGTGGCACCGGCCCCAATCCGTCGTCATTGAAAGCCTCCGATTCCGGCCAAATCCCTGAAAAGTTAACCCGATTACAGACCTCTGTTATTTTTTCTCCTTTGTTAAATTACTATTCAACTCAAAAGCAGCTTAAATTGACCTGAATCGATGATTCCGATGATTATGCCATCACCCAAATTACTGCTGTGCAGAAGATTCGGGGAATATGGAGAAGGGGAAACTCCGAGGAAATCCCAACTTCTGGTAGTATGGAGATCATAGAGAACATTTGGAAGAACTCGAAGCACCCCAGGAATCTCTACAGTTCAGTGATTAAGAGCAGCATTCCAACTTTTCATCAACAAAAACCAAAACCCACATAAAAAAAAAAAATCAGTGAGAAACAAATTTATAGTACATATACCAGCGAGCTGATGAGCCTGAGACTTGGTGAGCTTGGCCGCGAACCCAGAAAACGCATGTTTATAACTGTACACTGTCGCTTTCGAGGCCTTTTTCTTGCTTCAGTCAATAAGATAAATAGTTTATTTGAATCAGATTTTGAGCCTTATGGATTAGAATATTTAGAAAATTAGGAATTTGCAATTACCTTCCCAATATAGTAGCGAGAAGATCATGATGTTGCTTCTTCTCTCCGAGGTACACGATGTGAAGAAGCTGATCAAATTCAGAAATATAATTGTAAGCTGCTTCTAAAAAAGGGAACTTTAACTATTTCGATGTTGGGTTTCTTTCTGAATCTCTAATACGAACCTCGCCACTTGCCTCTGGTTTTGCAGTCGGTTTCTGGAAGACGAAGACTGATGCGTATAAAATCAGTACAAGGAACCATCCCCTGTTTCTCATCTTGTCTTGTCAGTGTCACTATAAAGTTAAGAGATCACAGTAATGGGTTTGGACTGAAGTTCTTCATCAGATTATTCCAACACAAAACTAATAGAAACCAAGAAAAGCTTTTGTTTTTTTACCTGTTATGGCGATGAACTAGATTGAAATATGTGCAAATCTAAGAAAGTTTCGGTGCGGTGCTTTGGTAGGAAACTTCAGGTCTGCGGAAATTGTGGCTCCAGAAAAGTCTTGTTTGAATGAAAATTAATTTAGGATAAAGAACCATCTTGTTTATTTGTGAAATCAAAAGCCCCCTCGAATTGGAATCAAAATTTCCCTTCCATTGATGATATTTACCCAATGAAACCAATGATTTGAGTGAAATGAACGGCAGGATTTACATCAAACTTTCTATTCACTTAAAAAAGGAAATAATTATTTTTGACCTGGAATGCCCTATTTTGATCTCTTCCTCTCCCATCGAGGCTTGCAACATGTGGGGAGGGGTTCGAACTCATCACTGACCTTAAAAAAAATAATTTAATTTCTCTACAACCCATCAATTTCATTCTCATTTTGTGTGTCTTATAATTTTTACATTTTCTCTCGTCTAAAACCCATTACTTAGTTGAGTAAACAATATCAAAAGATTTTTTATTCTAATTCTAAAAATTTTGGTAAACAACATTAAAATAATAACATTTCGATTGATTTTTATGTCATTTTTTTTTCATTTTGATTGCAGATAAATAAATGAGACATAAATTATAGGTAAATTTAGTAAAGAAAAATCAAATAAATACCAAAAAAAAAATATATGGAAGCCCTCTCTTGGATGTCATGCTGGATCAAAGGAATTTCAGACCTCGGCTCACGAGCGAGGGAGACCCAGCCCATTTTGCACTAGAAAAAATGAAGCCCATATATGGTACCCACGAATTCATATTGAAAATGAAGCCCAGCCCATGTTGGAATATTTGGCCGCCACCTTCTAAGCAATTTTTTTTTTTTTTTTAGTACCACTTTCTAAGCAAATAAAGAAAGAATTGATCATAAAACAAATCAAAGCATACAGTGGATCAGGTGTGAAGATTCAGCCAAAAATATCTTGGGAATCGACAATAGCTAAGTGTCGTGGATATCACTGTTCAAACTATGCATAGTTGGCATTCTACCAAGCTCATTACTAGTTAGATTTGTCAACATTTCTATATTTCAATCCAACAAAACAAATTTTTATTTTGTAACAAATAATTTTATTTGTTGTGGTTGTCCCCATCTTAACCTGCGATGTGTGTGGTGGAACTATAATTTAATTTTCTTTTGCTCCCGTATCCAGTTGCATGTACTAGCTTCCATGAATACTTTCTCAAATTTATGGGGCATCTGCAAATGTATTTAAAAGGTGAATTTAGAAACAAATAAATCTAAATCAAAAGTAAAGATTAAAAAAATACAACCACACATTTATTTAGATCACGCATGGTAACTTCTAACTATCCTTACAAATCAACATAAGTATTTTCAACATGTTTATCTTCTCTCGCATGTTTTCTAAGAAAATTTTCTTAAGACAGTAACCTAACATAAGATTGGTCCCCATAAAATTCATAAATCTACGGCATTCAAGGCCACTAAAAAGACAAGATAATACAAGCATATATTCCTTAACCACCTCTTTAATTTTTCCTTCAACGAAATCCAACCGCAATACACTTTAGTGAGTACGCTTTTATGGCACATTTGGTGGGAGCACAACAACTAGATCAGTTCATCTATTTATGCTTCTTTAGAAGCGTATCCAACGTCACTATAGAAATTATTGGGTATAAGGCAAAATGGAATTATGAGGAAACCATCATAAACTCAGGGGGAAAAAAAGAAGAAAAATAAAAATAGAGATGAGAGATTAGAAGATTAAAGGGTGGCTGGTGCAATATCATATGATATATATATAAATATGTGTGTATGTGCATCTGCCCCCATAAACAAACATAAAAGAATTATATGAAGTATATGATGAGATGAATAGAGGGGTTGAACATGGGACTGTGTGAATGGATCAGTGAATAGAATAGAATAGAATAGGGGGGAAGAGACAAAAGAGCCG